TATATTATCTACACATTACGATAGTAGCTATATTTACAATCGCACATCTCGCACTAGCACACCACTTGCGTCATGTTAAAAATATTTGCTGTATATTTGTGTCGACGTATCTCTTTTTTTTGTTTCTTTTGCATTTATCATCTTGTTTCGTTCGTTCGCATGTTCCGCGACAATTTATAGGCGATATCGCGAAAGTATCATAATATCTGCATAAATATAATCCCTTTCTATAAGAACGAAAACGCCCCGGATACGTCGGGATCGAAGCGTCCCGTTCGTGCCTACGTGCACGTCTCATTAGACCCTGTTGCATGAATACACCAAGCTCCGGATCGATCGATCACTCTGAAAGAACAGGAGTATCTTCTCTCCTCTCTCTTTCACGCACTCGCCTTCTATTTTCTTCCTTTTATTTCGTATGTCCTTTCTTTTTTATCTCAAATTTCATTATTCACGGACGGCACCTTAAACGTTCATGCACTTACTTCAATGTCTTAACACGTCAATTGCGAATAAGTATCATTTTCTTTGATTATGAATATAAACTAATCACCACATAACAAGCTTTTTCTTTATCTTTTTTTTCTCGTGACTAGCTCAATCTTCTTCGCGAACCACGATTTTTCCACAAACGTATATACATATATATACTGTCGCCGAACAAACATCTTCGATCGTGCTGTCGACAAAAAAAAAATTATGAACACGATTGAATCACAAGCAACGCTATTATGGCACACCGAGCAGGATTTGCTACACACAAAATAAAAAAACGGACAGCATCACCATATGATTCTCAAGCCGTTGATCGAAAGAATACATTTCTATTATTTTCATTCTTGTCCACCATCTTGATCACGAGTGCGGTAAGAGAACAGAGAGAACGATCGGGGAGAAAAGAGGTTAGACGGCACGTATATATCGCTATCTCGATGAACCTTTCCTTTTTTTCTTTTTATAATCGGCTCGATGGAACGAACGTTAGTCTTGTCTCTCTTCATTGTTCTTTCGGTATGTTTGTTCGCGGATTCACGTAGGTGCATGAATCAAGTCCCAAATAGCGTTACGATCCCGCGTCACATCCTCGAATCACGAGTCATGCCTGTGAATCCTATTACGCCTGTTCCCACTCTTCCGTCGTTTTCTTTTTGTATCTCTGGTGAACGCTACGTTACCAGGATCATCGGCTAATTGTGGATATCTGTGTACACTGTGAATATCGACACCTTCGTAACCGCTTACCGTACCTCGACTAATCAGTTCATCCTTTTCTTCTTTCGACCAATCACCTCTACCTTGGAAACCAGCCATTACGAGCTGCTTCTCAATTTCCCAGGCTCTTTCCACTGCTCTTTTGTGAGCGTGTTTTAATATTCTATGCCTTTCTTGTTCAGGATCCGCTCCGTACTTAATCACGACAGCGGCGTCCGGATTGTGTAACCTCAATTCTTTCCAAGTACCAGAGCCATGTTCTGTGGTTTCATGAGTAGAAACGTTAAACATCCCACCTAGACGACGAAGTTCTTCCATATCGTCACGAATCTTCAACGCGTTATCCTTTACAAAGTAGAACACATCCTGGTCATGGACGCTAAAATGCAACGGCAGGAAATACGAGTTGTTGAACACAGATGTCACTACATCCTGGACGACACTATTCACTCCATCTACTACACTAACGAGTGCTCGTCCACCGACACGAGACACCAGTATGCCTTCTCCAAATACAGCACGACGATGGGCTACGCGAGGAAGAAGGTTTCTCGTCTTTGGTTCTAATTTGAGTAAGGGTTTGGGGACGAATCCTAAATCGGAAAATTTTTCGTGTACACGATTGACGATGCACTGTAAACCTGACATAACACCAAAGTCTGGCGTCAATTGTGGCGACGTAACCATAGCACTAGGTTGGTACACCATTTGTTTCATGTATTCGGAACCTAACATCGCGGAAATATCGTAGCCATAAAGTTTCAACCAGCTACTTAAATCGGTCATGTACTCGACGTTTTGTTTAAAATTGATGGGATCGTTGTTACGGAAACGATAGATGAAAATGTCCGTTGGAGTGGTGAGCTCGTTTGCCATTTGTTCCCACGCAGGTGTCATCCATTGTCCAACGGTCGGATCGTATAGTCTTTTATTTAAGTAGACTAATTTTGTATTCGGATCGAGAAGACCACCGTGGAAATCGATAGGAAGATAGAAATCTGGATTGGTATCTTTGATTATCTTTCCAAATGGTGTACGTCTCATTTCCTTGATCAAATTTCCATTAGTGTCGAACAGCGCCAAAGGGGAGCCATTTTGATCAGTTGCCACGTAGAACCTTTGTTCAGACGTTTCTACTGTCATGAGGAAATTGCGGGAATCGTAGAGGAATCGGAATGTTTTCGAGGATTTTGGGAAGTGAATGTGTGTGATCAGATCCGGCGTCTTCGGGTTCGCGTAGAAAAATTGCGTAATATTTTCGCGATCATCATTCCAAGCTACTAATCGACCACGATCATCATAGAAATACCATATCTGGAATTTCTTGTGCTCTGATGCATGAATCAACTGGCCACGTGAGTTGTATCTGTACAAAAAAACAATAATACAAAAATATAATAATTATTGATTATTTTAAAGATAATAATAATAATTATATACTATACTATATTATTATTCCATATTTTGAAAATAGAATAAATGAATTTTATGTTATAATAATCAATAATATGACGACAATTTATATGTTAGTAAAAATGAAATTTTCAACATATTCGTATATAATATTTTTTTCATGAATTACTCTTTCTTTTGAACACGAAACGTATTGAAAGATAATTATGCTCGCTTAAAAATAATTTTTAAACAAACCTGTATTTGTGCTCTCCTCGAATAACGACGAAGCCCCGTCCATCGTAAGAATTAAATTCGACGTCGCCATATTGAACAACACGATCCCCACTATCATATCCCAATGCGATTTTTTCATTATGTTCCGTGACACCTATCACGTTACCATTTTCATCATACGCGTATTGCCAATTATTTTCCGTATCTGCTACTTCCAATACATGTCCATCAGCATTGTACGTTATCTTCTCCATCTTGGTCCATTCCTTCTTTTCCATGGCATCTTTTCCAATAGAGAGTTTTCTCATCTTTATACGATTTCTGTTATCATATTCAAGTTCCATACGGAACACGTCCAACGATCGAATGTTCATTAAAACTGCCTTAACTCGGCCATGTTCGTCGTAATCAGTGACAGTGAAGAATTGTTTGCTACTATCTTGCATTACAGATCTGTTGAACAGATTTCTGTATATTCTGAGATCTCCTACGCCTTCTAATATTCCAAGGTTTTGATTGTATTTTAACCGTAATTGAGGAAGCTGTTTCCCATTGATATCAACCTCGATACCCGATATTCGAGCGTTACCATCGTATTGGTAGCGATAACGCGCGTTATCCAAACCACTCTTACTACCGAATTTAATCTTCTCATCTTTGACAATTCCTGCATGATATTTATATTCAATACGCATTTCGAAATTTGGTTCATTGATATCGATGCTGTGGACTAGACTTGTGGTTTCTTGATAGGTGTAGTGTATCGAAGATAATCCTGTACAAATATATTTAATATTTAATAAATTTAATGAAATTCTATAAATTTTCTACACTATCTATATATTTTATATATAAAAATTATAAAAAAAAAAATATACAAATTATTTTAGATAATTGACATCACTTACCAGCAAGAGTGGTCTCCAGTTTTCCAGTATGATCATAAACATAAGCAACCTTGCCACTTTGATGAGGATACACCTTCGCTAAAATCTGTCCATCATCGTTGTACAAAATTTCATACGGATGCCTGTTCATTGGTGAGTAATATTGATATTTGTAGAATCCTAAAGAGGTTTGTAACGAGAAGGCGTGAATATGACCTCTTGGAGTAGTTAACGATTGCAATGCCCCAGCTTCATCGTATTGCAATAAATAATCGCTTCCTCTTGGCGTGGTTACTTTCAGCGGAAGACTACTGAACATATCCTTGAATGCATACACCATCGATGTGCCATCGCTATATTTGATTTCGTACAATCTTCCAGCCCTATCGAAACCATAGGTTTCGCTGATGTCACCCCAAGTCCAACTAGTTAATCTACTAAACCGATCGTATTCGAGTTCTACACCTGAGAAGATACCATTTCTCGGTCCCCATTTAACCGGTCTTGCCGTTTTATCATAAGTGACATTTAGAAACTCTATATCCTCCATGAACACGGCCACGCTATTAGTCTCCCTATCGTACTCGAGAGATAGTAGAACATCTCCATTGACACGAAGCTTTCTGCCAACTTGAGCCACGGACTTCGAATTACCTCTATTCTTGTTACCTTGAAGTTTCCGCAGGAAGTATCGCCATTCGAATCTATTCGCCAAATCTCCAGCGATTTCCGTTTTCTGTTTAGCAGGTACTGGATAACTCTCGCCCAATAGCGGCTCGATTTCGGCCAACACGGAATATGGTAAGGTATCGGTGCTAACCGTGTGAGCCCATGGCGTGACCTGACCCACGGAACCATCAGGAAGCACAGTTGTTCTCTGTTCAGCTTCTCCAATTTTCGTCACAACGGAAGATCCCTTGATCAGCATCGAGATGGGTTTTCTATTATTCTGTCCAACCTTCACTACTGCACCTTTCAAACTCAGATCAAAGGTCAAACTGATCACCTTTCCTGTTGGCGTTACAGCAGTAGTAAGTCTGCCAAATTCATCATAATTATAAACGTAACTCCTGCCTGTACTATCCAATTTGGTTTTCAGCAAACCAGTCGGTCCATGGTAATCGAACGTGACGTTATAATTATCCGGAGTGCTTAACTCGTGCAACATTTTCATCCTGGACATCCTAAGCCTGCACTTCTGTCCTTTGGTGTTCTCGATGGAATTCACTTGACTACTGTAATCTCTTAACAAGAACACTTTATTACCAGCTGCATCTGTGACAGTACTGAGTTTTCCATTGCTGGTATTGACATTGTACGTGAACTGATAAACAGCTTCACCGGTGAGAATGTTTTTAGTAGCCACGTGTTGGCCGAATCTGTTGAATACGTAAATCTCTTGGGTATCCGGTGAGTAAATTTCATATTCCCTTGCACCACTGGCGTCTGGGATGCTCGCCATTACGGATCGTATCCTGTAGTTCGCTTGGTCACCAATATGTACAACACCGTCAGGGGATACAGCTACTGCGGATATCGTGTTGAATTTGGAGGTAGATGCGAGATAGTGATCAGCTTCGAAACAATCGCAACCACGTTCCAAGCAATTGCACTTCGATTCTGCCCCTGCGTATGGCGAGATCTTGCCATCTGTACCGATCACTCTCACACGATTAATTCTTTGAGAGTCACTTTCAGCGATATACAGATTTCCAGATGGGCCGAACGCGATACTCTGAGGCATCACCAGTGTTGCATGTGTCGCGAGTTCCGTGTCGAACGAGGAAGATGGCGATGCACAGTGTAATGGGCGTCCAGCAACAACTTTGACACGTCCGTCTGGAGCCAGTTGAAGTACCATGTGATCATCGATCATATGCAACGAGTTGTCCAGAGGATTGATCGCTAATTCCGTAGGCCAACGAAGATGAACTTCTTCCACGTTCAAGGTACCCTCGCAAGGGATGGGTTTCCAATGCGATTTGTGCATGTGATTGCCGATCACGGTGGTGATGATACCATCTCTGTCGACCATTCTGATGTTAGTTCCGTCTGCGAAATACAGTACATTGTCGGCGGATACAGCTACTCCTTTGGGATAGGCCAGTTTGGCATCTCTAGCGAGAGCACCGTCTCCGCAATGGGCTTCATCACCAGGAAGACAGCGTTCTCCGGATCCAACTACCGTTTCCCAGTTGTGATCAGGGTCAGAGTAATCGTTGGTATCGCGGACTCGGATAATTTGATGGGATTCCGGGTCAGAAATGTAGAGGGAACCGTCCAATGGACTGAGAGCTATGTGATAGCGGTAAGAGACTCTTGTTGCGCTGAAAGGAAAAAATATTTGATAAAATAAAACAATATTTGGATTATTGAAGTATGCAAAATTTCATGAAAATATGTTCAACAGGAAGCTTACTTGAGTCTGACAACAGTCCTAACAGTTCCATCGACGAGGATCTTTCTCACGAGATTAAAATCACCGACAAAAATGGAACCATCAGGAGCAGTAGCGAGAGCAACGGGAGCAAGAAGTCGTTGTTTGGAAGCTTGCCCGTCGCAATCGTAACAGTCCAATGGCCTCTGGTGTCCATCTCCCATAGTCGTCAGAATAACCCTGGGTTTCTGTTTCAGATAGATATTCGAACCGTCTCCTTTTTGCAATATACCTTCATGGAAATTATATCTATGGTGAATATCCAAATTCCATCCGCCAACTTCGGAAATGGACATATCGTGACCGCTAAGTTTCGTCGTCTGCACGTCCCAGATGATGTCTTTGCAGTCGTTGTACTCGTATCCAACTTTCACCATAGCCGTGGTGACACCGTAAACGCGTTGCCTATAGACGTTCAATCGATTCCACGCGTAAGTGAATTTTATCACTGGATCCGCCTCGAACGTTTTCTCGAATAGGATACCCTCGATTGTAATTCTCAAATGGATTAGATTTAGAGTAGGCGGTATGACTTCCGGTGTCAATTGCAATTGTATCGTGGATAGATAGCCGGCTGCTCTGGAGCTGTGGTAAACAAGATTCAATCCTGTGCCAGGTATTTGCAGGCTTTCTTGTATGACTTGGGACTCGGCCAAAATGGCGCTCTTGTCGGGACAGGCACCCTGGAAACCGTGCTTCCACGTCGCCAGAACCACTGGCTTCATCAGATCGTAATCATGAGCCGCGCAAGCGTGTGGAACGTGGTTAGGTTGCTTTTCTTCAGCGGTGCTCATCACGATTTTGTCGATAATCACAACCTTTGAGGAAAGATAATATTTATGTTAGATCCTTCGTCGAACATTATTCTTTCCAAGAATATATAAATTCTTGTTTTACAAGTTTCGTTTAATGTCATGGTCGATTCACTTATGTCAAATATAGCAGACGAAGGACATCAAAGTATTTATATGTAAATTAGTAGTTATTCTTAGTAGTTAAGAAATAATTCTAAGCTTGGAAATAATCTTTATCTCGAATGTATATAAATCGCGTGCGTATAAATCATTTAGTCGTTGCACGAATACAGGTGCAATATTATACAAGTACAAATTTATTTATAAATTTATTTCCATATTACTCATAAATGAAGAAAGATTTACACATTTAAAACAATTAACAGATTTTTATTTTTAGCAATTATTAGAAATGCAAAAATTCTTTTGGCAAAATTAATATCTAATAATATTATATATTTAAATAAATATTATTCTGTTCTAGGTATCAATCAAAGTATTATTCATCGAAGCAAGGAAAATATCTAAACAAGAGAAGAGAAATACTTTGATCATCCTTCTTCTTTTCCATTTGGTTTGCATATCTCCCATAATTAAATTAATCATGGAACACGTTCTCGTACCTCGTTCCATGGGACGAAAACTATGTGGCTCTGCGGCTTAAAGGGCGACCTGCCGAACTGGAGAGTGACCGCACCACCACCGTTCACTAGGAGATCGAACCAGCCGTCGTCTCTCGTCAGGGTGAAGCCTTCCAGGGGTGTGCTGGTACTGACTCGCACTCCCATCAGACCGGTGCCAAGATGCGTGACAACGCGACCACGGACAACGGCCGATCGGCTGTCAGGAAACAATAACGTTAACGATCCAATGGCTGTCAGGTCGGTCGTGTCAACTAACGTGATTACTTTTTTCCACTGTGCACCGTGGCACACTAACAACAAAGCAACTGTTACTGTCTAATCTAATTTCAATCTACGATGGTATTACTGTGTATACTTCGTTCGTATTTCGTCTTGCAGTGTTCTTAAGTAATTATTTCTGGGAACGAAGATGTACTGTTATTTCTTTAATGCACACAAGAAATTGTAGTCAACTTTAGAACGACAAATATTTTTATAAGTTTTTTTTTATGATAAACGTCGCTCTATTCGTGCTTCTACCGTACTTCTTCGTTCTTGTAATTGGTATTCCGTGCGTGGTAATTATATATTAGAAACAAACTCGAATACGCGGGATAATTCAGTCAACGCGATTTCTGTCTTCTGTCAACGTTGCTCTTCAGTGCTAAAGAGGTGGTTAATAATCTGGAAATGTTTATTGTTTATTTTTTTTCCCTCTTTTATTCTTACATAATAATCACAGTATTGTTTCAAAATTCAACTCTAATATTCTTATTTTATTTATCAAATTCTGAATTTTGTTCTAACAAATTCTTTTGTATATTAGATTTCAAGACAAATTCATATGCTAAAATTTATTTTACCATTGAAAAATTTAATTTACATTAAAAATTGAGCAACTACCGTCTCGAGGAAAATAAAGCTGTATAAAATTCCAATAATTTCTATCCCGTATACAGCAATACTGAAATAAATTTTTATTCTTTTCCAGGATAAAAAGGTAGAAAAATATTTTTATCTTTCACCTTCGTTTTCATCTTTTCAGATAAAAAAAAATATATATATATATTTTTGAGAGAAATTAACTTGTGAGAAAAAGCGACACCACGATGCATGGTTGCCCTCATTGGCACTGAAGAAGCATCGGTCGAGGTCGGGTTGACAGTAAATACATATATATACATACACATATAACACGAATAACACAAAGTCAGAAGCTTAACTTAAAAGGCACGAAAGACAACGTAGGAATAATAAGGTAACCAAACCATGCAACGAGAAAGAGATTCGAACACTGATGAGAAGGAGACAAGAGGGTTGGTGTTGTGAGCTTTCTTTTTTTTTTTTTTCTTTCCTTTTTTTTTTTTTTTTTTTTTTCTTAATTTTCTGTGATCAATCGCACGCCACGTCGCAACACATTCGAGAAAAAGAGATTCTTCTTTTCGTTTGTCGACAGTTGTTGTCGATTGTATTGTCGATTAAATTGTCGGCAAATCGTGAAAATACTCGTAACTCGAAATTGAATTGAAAGCGCGCGTGCGACCTCATTCGGATGCAGGAATAGTATATATATATTACGTAGTTATGTATTACACACGATACCAAATGCACGAAAATATCGTCAAACAGCATATCAGCAGATATTCAACCGCTTATACTCTACAAAAACTCGCAACTCGGTTTCTTTCTTTCTTTCTTTCTTTTTTTTTTTTTTCTCTTTACTTTCTTTTTTTCACTCTTTTCTTTTTTCCTCTTTCTTTTACTTTTTTTTTTTTTTTTTTTTTTTTTTCCTTTTTTTTTTTTTCCTCTTTTTTTTTTTTTTTTTTTTTTTTTTTTTTTTTTTATACTCTTTTTTCTCTTGATCGACGAAATGGCTTTCTTACCTTGTGTTGAAGTGATTCCAGAACATACTGAACGGGCAGCACGGATAAAACAGAGCCGAGTTAAAAATGGTGTGATTAAAGGCAAAAATTAGATGGAAGAGAGATAGAAGAGAAGAAAGTAAGTTTGAGAAGGAGACAGATCAGTATATATATATATATATAAATTCGATTAATTCGGGATTATATTATTAGAAGGATGAAAATAGGACGTGTGAGATAGATCGATCGAAAGATTATGGAAGATTGTTAAAAGAAGGATTGTAAAAAATCTTCGAGAGAAATTTAGATAGAAATTCTTAGGAATCGTGTCGATAATTATCCCCTCTTTGATCGAAGGCGTAAAGCTCGAGGCTTGAACATGGAGTCACACATTCACGCAAGCTCCACTCGGACGGACACGTGTGAGAGGAAGAGAGTATATAAATGGAGAGAAAGAGAGAGATCGTCGATCATACGTGTACGATCGATCGGTTCGATGATGATCGAGAGAATAGCGAGAGAAAAGACGAAGAGAAGAGATAATAGAATGATGAGTGAGATGATATAGTGAAGAGAGAAAGATTGAGAGGGGGGCGGGAATTTCAGTGCAGGGCACACGCTCGCGCACACGTACGTACAAACATATGTATAAAACTTTTGGGATGTGATTTCACACGGGTCACAACAACGCAGAGAATATATCATATCTATGTATACGTCTTCGTGTTTCTTGTATGATATAATATAAACGTGTGTATAAACACGGACGAGAATAATTACGTATATATAATATGTAATATATATATATATTAAAAAAAAAAAAAAATAAAGAGCAAGATGCATGTGTCTTGCCTTGTTGGCTAAAGATTACAAGGATCCAGGATTTCGTTTCATATTTTAAATAATCACCAACCGTTCCAGGGCTGGTCGCGTGATTGATAGATCGCGAAAACAAATCTGATTTATATATAAACTTCGCTCTTACGTTCCTTAATAATCTTTAGTCGTCCCGCAAGACATGCATTTCTTTTCAGACGTATACCGCGTATTTGTCAAACATTGCGTACATCGACATACGAAGAGTTTGGAGGAAAAAAAAAAAAAAAAACGATTTCAACTTTGCATTAAAAAAAAAAAAAAAAAAA